AGCACTAGGGGGATGGGGGTAATACTTTAAAATAATGAGGAATGGGGCCCGGAATGCTGAATCTGCCAGGATTTCATGTCTTCTGGTCTGTTGATGACGCCTAAAAGATTCCAAGATGAAGACCAGGAGATTTTCTCTGTGCTGGAGCTGAAATAAGTAGAAACTCTACTTTAAACCCAGTAAGCTTCACTGATTCCATTGGCCTCAGTCAATAAATTTAGTTGCCTCAAAATGAATGGTTCCAAATGAACACCCATGCCTTTTATTTTATTTATTTCATTTGCATTCAAACTGAAATATTCTCCTGTCATTTGTATTTCCATATGCAATTTATTCCCTTACTCATGTGTCTACATGTGTATTTATAAATACCTATCAGAAGCCACAGGGCCAGAACAAAAAATAAAATTAACTAAATTAGTAACTGTTGATAATAGCAATAGCAAAAGCACTTAGACTTATAGACCACTTTATAGTGTTTTACAGCCCTCTCTAAGCGGTTTACAGTCTCAGTATATTGCCCCAACAATCTAGGTCTTCATTTTACCAACCTTGGAAGGATGGAAGAATAAGTCAACCTTGAATTTCTCAGGATCAAACTCCTGGCAGAGGAAATGCAGAGTTAGCCTGCAATACTGCATTCTAACCACTATGCCACCATGGCTATATAATCATACATTATATGTTATATGTAAAATAAGATATCCCACGAATGAATTGGACAAGATTGATTGATTATCCATCACTAAATGAGATCCTATTGACTTCAGGAGACTACTAGATCCAACCTAAGAATTACTTGCTTTCTATTGAAAACTTTAGGGTACACACTGATTAAATTTGTTGCAGTGAGCACAATGAAATCAATGAAAATAGCCCATTGAAGTTAAATGAGATTTTCAGTCATTTCATTCTCAGAACATAGGGATCTCCTGTTCTTTATTTTGGAATCCGACAGGATTCAGCATCATATTAAAACAGATGAAATGATGGGTGATCAGTGGTGGTATTCTGCTAGTTCGGCCTGGTTCTGGCATACCTGTAGCGCCAAAGATCAGCTGGCAGAGAATCTCTCTGACGCTCTGCAGTTGGTCCCACCCAGCCAGCCCTGCTCCTAGGTCCTTTTTAACCTCTCAGCTGTTTGGCGTGGCAGAGTGGATTGCTTTGCTAAACAGCTGAGAGGTACAGTAGCTTAGTTTTTACTGCTTTAATGTGTGCACAAAGTGCATGTTTGATGCATGATCGAATTGCGTGATCCCACCCCTGCAGCCATGCCCACCAAGCCACGCCCACAGAACTGGTGGTGGGAACTTTTGAATCCCACCATTGTGGGTGATGTTTGTGCCTCCTTGTCCCATATCTCACTGTTTTTCAGTATTAACCCCACTCCCCATAGAACTTCTTTTCCATTGCTCTGAATTTCATTTGGATCACAGGAATCTTATTATATGATGGGGTTTGCATTTGAAATTGCAATTAATACAAATTGTATTAGTGAAATACATTTTTTGCTGAAATGTATGTGTAAATATCAAATATATGTATAGTGGACATTTTATTGGAAATCTTAGTTAATAAACATGGGTTTTTTTCTTGGCATTGCCGTGCTACAGTTCCCAGTATTATTCTATTGGCTGTGTTGTGTGAGGATACTGTGAGTTTGTTTATTAATTGCATTTGTGTTCCATCTTCCCTCAAGTGTATCCCCTGTGATGATGAATGGTTACATGTAATTCCCCATTCCTATGTTTAAAATGTTGCTGCTTTGAGTTCATTCTGACTTCCAGAGTTTATATTACAAAATATCAAGAATGGCTATTAAATTATTATTATATATTATTGTGTCAAAAGTCATCTTAAAAAAAGATAGAAATTGCTCAGTGATAGAATGGTCTAGAGTTCTTGAGTCACTTGAGTAGTTTTAACCATTTGATTTAAAAATGTTGATACTTTCAGAATCGTCTTGCACATGTAGTTTGATATCTTAAAATTATTGCAGACTGTTTTCTGCTGTAGATCAGATGAACAAGTTTAAAAAATAATTACATAAAATGTACAGATACAAATTTGTTTCTTACTTATTGTTCACATTTTATTTTACAGATCTAACTTAATGAACAACAGGACATATACAGCACTCTTTAAACAGGAAGATGAATGTCTGAAATCATATACTATTCTCTTTAATATGACCACATTAAGCTGGATTGTATACAAGTATAAATGGTGGATCCAAACCTAAAAGCCTACTTTGACAGTTTTTACCAACTGAAATTACTGGAAAAATGATAACATTTAAAAACAAGTTTATAGAACATCTTTAAGGCAGATAACATAATGTAACATTATAAATATATTTTTAAAAATGTATCTTGAGTGAGGAACATAGAAATATATGTATATGTATATGTATGTATAGTAAAGATTAGATTAATCTGAATTATCAATCAACAGCTCATCTTAATGCAATAACAATAATTGAAATTGATGTTTTTACATATAGAAGTGTTCGTTTAAAAAAATAAAAAATCCATTAATCATTTTTACTGCCAAACAATTTGTAGTATATTTTGTAAAGATACATTTAATAGTTGA